TATCTCCATTATGTGTGAGCTTTTCAGTCAGTTGTGCGGGAGAAAGTAAAATCAAGTAAAAAATATAAAGAATGTAATGAAAATGACGTGGTTTGTTTGTGTACCATATATATTCCCGTATAATGAAACACAAAATTACGATCGAAAAACAGGGGGTCGCCGGCGAAACATACAAATTTTAGATTTTTAATATCATGTTCGTCCGTTGTTTGGATTTACGACTGCAATTAAGCTACTTAAATGTTAGCAGGTCTATGAATGAACACAATTTTAAATACTGGGTAATAAGCTTTCGATTAATATTTAAAATCTCATAAAATGGTATTATTTTGAAAATTATCTCTGCGTTTGGCTCTGCTTTTAGTCAGCTAGATCCAGTATGAAGACCATAAAAAACAGCAAAAAGTATGAATTCCGACGATCTTATACTCCCGGCATACAAACATCTTCTAAAAATCTTCACTCGGGGGTCGTCTTATGCGCCAGTATATACAGTATTTTGTTACCAAATGTGAAGAACGGAAATAAATGTGGGTGTGACACGACTTCAAAGAATGACAAACTTGAGGCCATAATTGATTTTACGTTTCGTTCTTTATTCGAAAATTGTCAAGTATGAATATAATTCATGATGGGGACAATACCAAAACTCAAAAGTTAAAACAAAATATAAATTCTGACCAACCAGAAAAGGTAAATTTAATGTAGGAGACAACATGTGTTGCTGATGAACAATTTTTTTTTGTTAAACAAAGGCCAAGTTACCACCTTTGCTTAGATAATAATACAAGGTCTTCAGAGGCTCTTAGACCATAGTAAAGAATAGACTATTTCTTCCTATTGCTAAGTCTTCAGTAAATACAATTTCTGACCAATGCACAGAACCATGAATAATATCAGTATTCACAAATATTAGGGAATATATAAGACATTGGTTAGGAGTTCAAATAATATTATCATCAAATGATAATTATCATTATTTTAATATTATTAAAACCTTCAAAACAGTTTGTAATGAGAAATAAGATAAGGGACTTCCCACAGTATGTTGACTGCATGAGATTGCCTATAAACAAACAGTATATTGATAAAAATCAGAAAACAGGGTAAAACAGAACATAATATATGGATTTTACTATAGAACAGAAGTATATAAACATGATCGCTCTATATATGCATTTCTTCTCTGAAGTGTTGTTTTCTGTTTCGATAAGAACAGCAGTAAAACCACAGAGAAGCATAGAAGGAATTCTAGCTGGTCAGATAATTTTGTGTAGGAGAGCCGGACTCATCAAAAGCTATTAATGTGCACTTCTCTGACAGGGTTCCATCGGATGGTCGGAGCCTGGAAATTGGTTCTACATACAGTGTGTCTGTTCTTAATATAGTGCAAGTTGAACAACATTTTTGACAGCATTTTCGACAACAGCATCTAATAAAAAAAAAAACGCTTTGAATTAGAAATGATGCTTAAGCCTACCTGACGTGTTACCGTACCGAATGTTAAGTACGTTCCCAAATACGAAAACAAAAAGTCTCAAGGGTTTTGACCAGATAATTAGCCTGGTGTCATAAACACTAGACCATCGAGCTTGTAGAAGCAATGCTCTATAACGTATTCCTCTATGGACGAATTTGTATCTTGACTTCTATTAAAAATAGTTACTTTTCGTTAGGTGAAGATTCATCCCGGTTTGCCATATTTTTTTTTTATAGGAGTGTAATGCAATTCAGATATACTCTTATCGTCGAATATATTGTGATGGTAGACTAAGTATCTTCTAATTCCCGTCTGCCGAACTGTTGTAACTCCTTTTCTTTTGAAGTACCAGTTATTGATACAAAGCGGATTGATATACATTTTACCGACAATATATCAGTTCTGCATCATTTGTCAAAAAAATATTTTATACTAAATTCTAGGTATATTGAGGGCACTCTCTTCATTTCCGAAAGTCTAAAGTCATAATCATTACTGTTTCAACCATATTTTAGGGCAATAGGGTCAATATTAAAGGTATTTGGTGTTTAGAAAGAAATGTTATTGCAGAACCCCTTATCTTTTGATATAGGTGATTTTTTACATGCTAAAATCGTTGAATAAAAAAAACGACATTTTATGCAAAACACACTATCTCTGAGATACGATCTTTTGCCCCTTACACTATTTCCTAAAATAATGCATGTAGTTCAGTTCAAAGTTTACATCTTTGTATGGTTTATCAAATGTACTTTGCTTTTTAAAAATGAAGAATACACAATGTATTATTCAAAATATTATCTGTTATTACAAACCCTCGCCCTGTTGCATGTACAGAAAAAATAGTGGCATTTATGTACATAGTAGCCTTTTTCAAAATATAATGAAATATCCTTACAAAATTTGCTTTCTAATTCCAATTAGCAATGAATTCGTGACAATTGCATTTAAAATTGTTATTATAGAATGCCGGCCAGAATTTGATTCACCCCCTACTCTGGCCCGCTGTTGGTCGGATTGGCCTAGCCAAACGAGGCTTAGCATCATAATAAATTATTCTAAAATCTGCTTCTTACTTTCGATTTGC